GCACCCTGCAGGTAAATGAGATGCAATTCAATACAATATTGAGCAACTATTTTTATTTAAAGTCATTCCAAGGCTTAGTTCTGTACTGTTTCTAAGGATCATCTTGTCAATTTCATGGTCAGTTTCAGACCCTTTAAAGAAGCTGATCTGCTTTGCTGAAGCTGTTAGCAGTAGAAATTTGCTGATGAGAAGCCATGACTTGCTGGGAAATAATTCATCGAGCGATCTTGCGAGATAAGTGGATTAAATACAGTCCCAATTTCACAAGCTGAATTTTTTTTGTGAGCTACGATAGCTGACCTTGTATTGTCAGTTCCAATAATAAAATATACCATTTTACAATTAAAATAGTTGCTTCTGTTCCCTTTGATGGTTCAATAAGTTTATCCAGTGATCAGCTAAGTGATACAAGACTTTTTTTTGACAAAAATTAAATCAAAAAATTTGTGTTCATCAAGAACCACACCCTCCATCTTGGAAAACAACATGGCTATCTGTGACTTCTTTCACTTCTTTCTCCGGCACCCACACCATTCTTCTTGTAGGCCAAAAAGAACACCTCATCATTAGAGAAGAGACCATCCAACAAGCCTGGCCCAGAATAGCTGCAATTTATCTAATGGAGCATGATTGATGGGCACAATAGGTTTTCAACTCACAACACCTTTGACTGACAGAGACAAGAACAGTGGTAATTGAACTTCATTTCAAACACCTCTAAAAGACCTGTAAAAGGAGCAAGTAAAAGAAGGACCAAACATCCTGCTAAAGTTGCGACTGCATTGTGAACCCCTGCTTATCAAAGCAACTATATGTTTTATCCTGTAGCTGGCACTAGACATATAACTGCTCTATTGTTGTGGAGAACTGGGGCTGAGTTCTCACAGTACTAAGATACACAGGCTGAGTTCTCACCTGGGTCTAGATTTACTCTATGCGATAATTTAGGATGTCCAGACTTCGGCAAATTGCTGAATTTAATCTTAACTTTGAATGTGGTTTCCTGTAGTTCTTAAAAGAAACTTGTAATTAGAGCCATGTTTAAGAATTTGTCAAATTCTGCCTGTTCAGAATGCAACTTTAATAGAATTAAATCTAAACCCAGTTGGAATTTTACTCCTGGGTTACAGTATTTGACTTCCAATTCACAGATTGCAACTTTCCACTGCTAGTGTGCAGGAATCCCATTTTTCTAATAAACAAATACATACAACGGCAGTATCCTGTTAGTTGGTAGTGAAAATGTGCAATACACAAACCAAATTCATTCAATGTATGAAATATCAGATTGCTAACTGGCCCTCGTGTCTCCATGAAAACATGTTTGGTAAATTTTTTATTTCCTTAGAAAAGTATAAAAATGGTAGAAATGGTCTAAAGCTAATCATAATCTCATCATGTCTTCAGTTTTTCACTCCAATGCCTCTTTCAACATACTCGGCCCCGTTTGTTTTTAAGACAATCCTTTCTTCATTGATCTGTTCTTGAATAGCTCATGCATACTGAGCAATAAAAAAACAGCTATTATAAATAGATGTACCAATTATAATGTGCACTAAATATACTACCTCCCACACCATTGACCTTCAATTATCACTTGATATATCTGCACAATCTTTCACTAATACTGTTCACACATGGCTGCTCATTAATAAGGCTATCATGCAATTGGTCTCTGGCACAATGATCATTGTGAGGAAAAAGCAACTCAAAAAATCAAATGAAATTATCAACATGAGCTTCACAATAATTGTTGGTTAAAAATACCCCAACAGAAATATATCAAAGAGTTCAAATACTTCTGCTTTATGGCATCTTTGAATCATTTGACCACATAGCTGCCTTGTAATTATTGGTATCTATCCATGGTAGATATTAGCTTTCATTTTTAATGAACTGTGCTATGTTTTGTTTACCCTCAAAATTGCAGCCTCATTAACATCTGATGGGGCATTGCATGGGGACAGCAGCAGTAAGTTAGCAAGTGGGCAGTTTGGCAGAAACAGACAAAGTATTTCAGCAAGCCGCTAATGGCTACATTTCCCAGCTCCATCATTTGCAAGTGGTGTCCTTACTGGAACAGAACATGGCATTAACAGAGACTTCTGGCACCGTATATTATGTACAATAAAGAAAGGGATAGATCACTTGTGTCAGCACTCAGCATATCTTAGCAACCAAAACTTCATTGTCAAGTTATAAGTGTAGATTAAGCCAGTTATAAGGTGTCCTCTTATAAGACAGATTCACTTATAAACAGTGTCAATAGAAAATTGCAGAAATATTTGCCAAAAATGTTGGTAACATTTGATAGTTGATTGGTGCTATTGATAGGTATATTTTACTGCCAACCTACATTTTTTCACTTTATTGATAACGACTAAACATGAAGAAATAATACACATTAGATTATTACAAAAAAAATTAATGGTTTCTTTAACAAAAACTGGGTGTGTCACTCGGGGGTGGGGGTTGGGGGTGCACTGGCGCAGGGCCAAAGGGTCCGTTTCCACACCAAACTACATTTGAAGGCCAGTGACTGCGGGGATCCAGGAGGCCCGCCACCACACACAGACACAGAGAGAGAGACACACACAGACACAAACACAGATACACACACACACATACACTCACAGAGAGAGACAAATACTCACAGGCACAGAGACACGCACTTGCAGACAGCGACAGAGACACACACAAACATACTCACAGACACACACTCATACAGTGTGTATATTATGACACATACACTCAAAGGCACACGCTCACTCAGCCACACACTCACAGACAAAGAGAGAGACAGACACACTCACAGATACAGTGACACACACACACACACACACACACAGGCGAGAGCCACAGAGACACTCACAAACATACACACATACACATTTAGACACAGACCCACAGACAGAGAGAGAGACACTCTTTCACACACACATACATACACACAGAGAGAGACACACAGACAATCTCAACAGCGGGGTCTCAGAGTGAAGCGAATCCCATTTCCCGCTCACACCGCACCACGCATGTGTGTCCGGAGCCGCTCCACCCACAGTAGAGGCGTTGAGTAAACAGCCGGCAGCAGTGCACAGAGGCCCAGGGCCCCAAGTACACTGGGTTTTTACAGGTTTGTAGCAGAGGAGAACGTTTGTAGGGGAGGGTTTGTTTGTTGCGGGGTGGGGGGGGAGTGCGGGGTGTGTGCGTTTGTTGCAGAGGGGTTGTTTGTAGGGATTCCGTGGAAAAATTGTGGTCGCACATTTTTGTTGGCCCAGCTTGTTTACGCACAATGGGTGCTTTGATGTGTGGACTGGCTTTACGGTATATCCCATGAAATGTTTTGAGACGTCCTCCTGATGTGAAAGGTGCTATATCAAATGTAAGGATTATTATTAAATCAGATGCCACAATGTACCTCCTGGGTCGTCTGTTCACAACTCTGCGTAAAGTAATTCAATCTGAAATGTCAGTTCACCAAGCTTCCATACATATGTGAAACCTGTTGCCAGAAGCTAGGGCTGATCAAAACACTTCAATATATTTTAAAAACATGATGTCTACATGAAGGAGAAGGGAGTTGAGGGATATAGGAGAGGGGAACAGGAGGAGTAGGAGCTTGTTTAGAGTATAAACACTGGCACCGGCTATTTGGGCTGAATGGCCTGCTTTCATCTCATGTCATTCTATGCAATTTTATGCAACATACATACAGATACATGGATGCAGACGGAAAGGAATGAACAATGGCCAAGTGGTCTATTAGGTTAACTCTGAGAAGGAGCCACCTCATTGCCCCTACCTCGCAGTGTACACCTACACATCTCTCCCGGTGCTGGTCACTCAAGTTAACTTCCAGGGGAGGCAAAAATCAGAGAAAAAACACAAAAAAACACCAATTCGGGGGAAAAAAGGATTTGTGCAAAAAATTATTCTGGATTCCCGAGGACAATCCAGCGATCTCCAGGAGTAATGGCATCAGCGGCACTGAGCCACTATCAAAACAAAATCATTGCTAGATATCCCCTTTACCTTATTAACCTGCCCTGGACATCACTAAGCAGATTTGGTTTCATTTGGATACTTTTAGGCATAGAAAGTGGGATTCCATGTGACCCAAAAAAAGTACCTTCCCCCTTCTGAGCTCAAACAATGTGTCCGTGTTCACATTATTATTATTATTATTATGTTCACACATTAATGCTTCAATATTGAGTCTCTGTCAAAACTAGAACTTCCCTAACACTTTTTGAAATGTTAAAGGCCCGTCATCCTGCCTGGTCTTAGCCTTTAAAAAAACATTTTGGCTTCCAGCAGAAACAGAATTATGGAAAACCGTTCAATTCAGTCTTAATTTGAAAGCTATTTTTCTACAGTTTTTTTTAAAAAACAGCTTTAGGTTTAAATTGTGGTTGAATCAAGTAAAAATTGATTTGCAAAATGTCACAATTTTTATTTTTAAAACAAAACAGCCTTAAAGGTTTAGATGAGGTGAAATTCTGGACCATTTTCTCTCTAGAATTTTAATACTGAAGAGCGTGAAAAGCAGGACTACAGAAATTTATGGAATTAAATTAAATTTCTAATTTAGAAAACGTAATACGAAATCTAGTCCATTTGTCACATAAGTCTAAGGTTTGGATGAAACTTGTTTTTTTGCTGCTGCTGTAACACAGTCAAGCCTTTACATTTACTCATTTATTTTGGGTCATGGTTTGTTTTTACCAGACTCATGCCACAGATAGCCTGATCACCACACAGATAAAACAGTGTCTCACAACACTTTATGCCCCAAACATTGTAGAACAAAATTGAATAATTCAATTCTACCGCTTTCTGATTTGTAAAGAATTTACTGAAAGGAATTCTTTAGCATAAGCAAATCTAAGCAACCAAGCATCACCATGAAAAGAAGGGAAGTGATGGGAAAGTGGGGGAATATATTAACACAGCATTCACTTAAAATGTATGTTAAAATGAAAGAAGTCCTTTTTCTTTACCTGGTCTAGTGTATTCATCAGCTTCCCTGTGAACAAGATCTGTAACTCTATTTCCATACATCAGCCTTGTGTCATGATCATAGGCCTTAAGGGTTTCACTGGAGCTGTAGGATTTCTGAGTGGGCACTCGACACTCGTCGTTGTCCACTGAGGAATTTGTGTAGCGTCGCTCTTTGTCTCGTCTGGTTTTGGTGAGGGAGCAGTACGGCCTTCGTTCTTTCACATCCATATTTCAGGCATTATGTAGTGTCCACATTCAATGTGATGCGTTCTTATCTCCGTTCCGACGCTCAATTCAGCAAGACCTGGACAAGACAAAATAAACACCAGTCGGTCACAGGGAGCTCGGACCCAACAACATCACAGTGTGGCCTTGGCCAGACACTCACTGCCTAGTCAATTCCTTTGCATTTTGCTGAGAACATACATCTTCACAACATGTGAAGCTGGTAATTGTTGCTCAAAATGACTGATTCAAAAGGAACTTTGAGAAACTTTGGATCCTGCCATCATCCCATTTTTAAAAAATATTCAACGTTCCCTCTCCCACGGTCGTGGGACATCTACACATTCCCGAGGCAGTTAAAAGATCAATCTACAGTTCCAACTGCCAAGCCTCAAAGTTTACCAAGAATGTACAGCACAGAAACAAGCCATTTGGCCCAACCAGTGCATGCTAGTATTTGTACTTCTCATGATTCTCCGCCCATGAGTCTGACTCCTTTCCAAACCCTTCTATTCCCCTCCCCCTAACATGAAGGTCTAGTTTCCTCTTGAATGTCTCCTTCTTATTATCACAATGTAGAGAATTGTTGCAGCAGTTGAGGGATACAAGCCCTGTTCTTGAATTGTATTTTGTTTGGTTCTCATTCAAAGCACTCACACACGGGAATCAATGCGGAAGAAACATTACTCCTCCATGACTTCAGCTTAAATATTCCTACATCCAGAGACTCCAATAGGCTTGAGCATTGCGGGAACATTAATAACTGAGTGCATGATAAAACTGATCTTGGTTAATTTAACTGGAATTTCTATTTGGTCTTAAGGGAACATTACAGATGTTCCTTCTTGACAATTCTGCAGAATGCTGGAGCCTGGAATGTGATCAGTGCAATGACATGCGAGTACACTTGTTTTTCACATGGCACAGCATCTTATAGCAACAAGAAGTTGATTAATACAGCCCTTCATGTGTGGTAAAGTCTCAGAGTACTTTATAATGATGGGGTCAGACACTGAGCAGGGCAGAGAGGTTTTAATAGATGTAGTCAAAGAGGTAGGTTTTAAGGTGGGACAAAGCCATTTGGCTGTTGAAAACTGCATGAAACATCTTAGTATTGGTACAAATTCCTCAGGACAACACAAGGCAGATCGATGAGGCTGATCATACAATATAATTTACATATGATAGTGCCTAACACATCGGAGAGACAGGTTCCCCAAATGTTTGACAATTCAAGCTGGGAACCAGAATTGAGAGTGTGAGCTAAGGGGGTTGAGTGGGGGGGAAAGATGACCAAAGGCAGGATCAAAGAGGTACATTTTGAGATGCATGTTGAAAAGGAAGGCGGGAGTAAGTCAGAGAAGTTAGGAATGAAGTTCCAGAGAGTGGAGAGTGGGTGCCAAGTGGCTGAAAAGCCTGCCTGCTGATGATGGGTCGGCTAGAGCAGGGGATGTGGAATAGGCCAGTGCCGGCTAGTGAAGGGAACAGCCAGGTTGGCTTGATTGAAGAAGGTTGCAGAGATGTTTACAAACATGTGCTGCTAAGAATGAGGCTCATTACACAGAAAAGCTCTATGAGATTTTGCTCACGGCTTTACAAGTTAAGCTACGGACAACACCTTTCGCAGAGAAAAAAATTCTCGAAGTGCAATGTACAGAAAGATGATTTTGTGTTGTTATGAACAGAGCCAAACTTCTCAGTTTGGACTGGATTCATAGGAAAGGATGTAAAGGAATGTTAGAAGGGAATAGTTTATTTCCCTTGAAATCTGAAATAAGCAATGTGTCATGGCCAATAATTCTCCAAAACATTGAAATTAATTTGTCTACTTATCTCACTGTTCTTTGTGGGATGGTGTTGGCACAGATTAGTTATTTGCTTCCACAACACCATTCCACATTAAAAGCAAGTTTTTTATGTTATTGAGTTATGGCCAGATCATTAATTTGTGTGCAACCTTAGCCTTTGCTTCGATCCTCTATTATCTTTTATTCCTCACACTAAAAACCCTCATTTACCCATTTGTTTCCTATCTCCTGTCTAGACTTTATAAATGCACTCATTACAATACAGTTTACATTTATATAACAACAACTTGCATTTATATGGCACCCTTCATCCAGGGTAGCATCCCAGAGCACCTTCTTACTAATCTTCTCCTACCCCACTCCCCCCCCCCCCCCCCTTCTATTGTCTAACACAGACCTGCTACCCTTCCCTGATACCATTGGTGGCCATCTTTAGCTTTAATCTTCCTTACCTCTGGAACTCTCTCCCTCTAACCCTCCATCTCACTGCCTCTCTAACTGTCTTTAAATCTTGTCTAAAAATCTACGTCTTGTACTGCACCTCCCCACCTCTACCTTCTCCCTCGTTTGGTAATTGATCTCCATCCTTGTGAAGTGCTCCAAGACATTCTCTTATGTGAAAGACTTTTTATGTGATGTTTGATATCATCTATATAGGCATTAATATATTTGTTTCACACTCGAGTTCTGTATTTTAACGTCCATTTGAACAGGCAGACTTGGATTAATGTCTCTTCCGAAGGACAACAACTCCAACCCTGTTATAAACCCCCAGCATTGCATTGCTAGGTCAATCTAGAGTATGCAAGTTCAAAGTCCTGACATGGGGCCTTTGTCTCTAAGGCAAACATGCTACTAAATGAGCCAGACTGACATAATTCCCAATTTGTTTTCTTTTAAAACAAAAGACTTTTCATGTTATGGCTTTTCACCGTAGTGATTAGTATTCACCAGCCAGCTATGACTTTATGATTATACCACTGTCAAGAATATCGACAGTACAGATATGGGATGTGGAATTTAGAAGCTGGGTTATCAGTGTGGCACTGAAAAGGTTATCAAACCTGAAAATCCATCGACAGATTGATAATGAAAGTTATCGAAAGGGTTTAAAGCATTCAATAGAGTAATTCGCCACAGAAGCATTTGCAAAATGTGCAATGGCACGTAAAATAAAACAAACCTTGTGGCAGTGAGCAATGCTTCACATCATCGCACATTTTCATAGATTTAAACCGTGCTTCACACAGAATCAATCTAGGGCTCTCTTGGCAACTCACTAACACGATTGCATTGTCCATATGCAGGGAGTCCAATAGCCTGAAAATTTTCATGATCTTAGCTTTAAGATTACTCTCTTAAAATGCAAGACTAATTTGGGAAAATTCTTAAATTCACCCTTAATTTAAAAGCTTGTTTCTCGCAGTTCCTTTTATAATATGATAATACTTGTATTTGACATAGAGCCTTATCACATAGCCAAGACCTCTCAAAGCACTTCACAGGATATACTGTAAAGTGATGTTACTGTGTATTTTGTGGGCGAACGCAGTAGCTTATTTCCACACAGCAGTGTTCCACAAACAGCCATTTGAGGGAGTGACCAACTTTATTTGGGGGATTGTTGGCAAGGACACTGGAAGAAACTCCCTTTTCTTTTTGAATTGTGCATTGGAATCTTTGACATCCACCTAAACATGCAGTGGGACCTCAGTTTCACGTCTCATCCGAAGAACCGCACCTCCAACATTGCACCGCTCCTGTAGCATTACGTTTGGTTTGAATTTACAGTCAGCCTAGACGGTAAGTTCAAAGTCCCAATGTGGGGCTTAAGCCTAGCTCCTGCTGCCTTTTAAGAATTTCAGGCCTGAGAATGAAGCCCACCTGTGCAAAGTGATAGTTCTTGTCAATGCAAATGACAACTTTGCAAATCTGACTTGAATCTGTATTAGACACAGCTGCAATCAGCTAACTCAGAACACACCAGGGATTGAACCTGGGACCTTCCAAGTCTGTATGACTTAGTTTCACTCTAAGCAATCAATTTTGCTAACAAGGAAGCTCCAATCCTCTCTGTTAAATCACCAAAAATCAGTTTCAGAGTTGGTTATTCACAACAGATTTCACTGAACAGTACCTTAAGCGAACTGCCGGAGAGTTAATATTTTCATATTAGATGGAAGGAAATTGAAAATCTAAATCCATTTTAATCTAAATCCACTATATTCGCTCTTTATTTGGGTTACCCGGTTCTGAGGATATGGTAGCCTTCTGTACTAACCATTAAAGGTGTCCTTTCTACAATATTCAAATTCAGCAAATTAAAAGCAATACATCTGCATTGGGAATATGAACATGCCGCAGTTAAAAGCACATTAGAACTTGTAACAGATACAGCTCATTGATATTTCTGTGTAAATTTTGCCATAACGTTTTAATCGTCTATTGGGAACTGTGTTGATTTCTCTTTACAGAACAGTCATTCAAGGTCACATATCAGGACATCTGAATTCAGCAGCCAGTTATATAATACATCGTCTTGATCTGACTTTTGTGGATGGTAATTCACTTGCACATGAAGGCAATATGTAACACTGCCTGGAGTCTATCAGCATAGGATTTAAATTGACAGTGGGCGAGAGGAATTCATGTGACATGCTGTCTGGGAGCTCACCAGTTCAGTCTCAACTGAAAGGCAAGAATAGATTTTCCACTCATCGGGCAGAAGCAGGTAGTCTGATGGCTGTGCCAAAGGAATAATCCACTCCCGCTAGCATGCTCCCACTCACCAGTTTTCAGTAAGTAATTGCATACATCTTCCACCCAAGCTGAGTATCTCAGTTGTGTTCCCCATCTTTATGAGGAAATGTGTTCAAGCCCTACACTCATCTTTGTGCTCAGCATTTAGGCTGACCTCCACTGGAGTTCTAGGGGAGCAGTACATTGCCATTGTTTGAATTAGACATTAAACCGAGATTTTGTCGCCTGTTCAGATGGACGTTAAAGATCCCACACCACTGTTCTAAAAGGGAAGGAAATTTCTCCTGGCATTCCAGCCAACAATCCCCCAAATACAATTGGCCATTGACTTCATGGCTGTTATGGACATTTCATGGACATTACTGCGAACAAATTGATTTTTCCCAATAGCCTAGAAAATGCAATCACTACACTTTCCAGTAAATCTGTGAAGCGTTTTCAAACATCCTTCTGACATAAAAGTGCCACATCAAATGCAAAGATTATTATTATCAACATTATGACAGAGTAG